GATGATAATAATAATGATGATGATGAAGAATATGTTGATGATGCTTCTCGTGAGGAAGACGATGCTGATGATGCTGATGATAATATTGCTGATGATGATGTTGATGAGTATGATGATGACGAGTATTATGATAATGCTGATGATGGTGGTGATGATGTTGACAATGACGATGACGATGGCGATGATGATGATGATGATGATGGTGGTGGTTGTGAGGATGATGATGACGATGCTGATGATAATGATATTGCTGATGTTGCTGCTGATGACGATGCTGGCGATGACCGTGACGATAACGATGACCATGACGATGAGTATGATGGTGATGATGATGTTGACGACGATAGTGGTGGAACTGATAACGATGGTGATGGTGCAGCTGATGATGATGATATTGCTGATGCTGCTTATGATGCTGATGATGTTGATGAGTATGATGATGATGACGAGTATGATAATAATGCTGATGATGGTGGTGATGATGCTGAACATGACGATGACGATGACGATGACGATGGGGATGATGATGCTGATAATGATGATGGTAGTTGTGAGGATGATGATGACGATGCTGATGATGATGATGATGATGATGATGATGTTGCTAAACTTGCTGCTGCTGATGACGATGCTGGGGATGACCGTGACGATAACGATGACGATGACGATGATGATGCTGATGAAGATGATTTCGACGACGATACTGGTGGAACTGATTACGATGATGATGATGATGATGATGATGATGATGATGATGATGACGACGATGAGGATGCTGATGATGAAGATCGTGATGCTGATGACGATGATGACGATGATCCGAACGACGAGGATGGTGACAGGGAGGAGGAGGAGGAGGAAGAGGAGGAGGAGAAGGAGGAAGATAAAGAGGAGGAGGAGGAGGAGGAGGAGGAGGGAAAGGAGGAAGGGGAGGAGCAACAGGAGCAGCAGGATAGTAATGAGCGGCAAGGCCTCAGCGGAGCAGGTTCGGCGGGAGCCCGTCGTGCGCCATACCCCTGATCTGGCCAAGCGGTGGGTCCGCGCGCGGGCAGGGCGCAGGGCTGCGGCCCGTCCCCGACCCCACGATCTCTACGCGGAGGTTCATGATGCGCCAGCAGGCGGTCGGCACGGCGGGAAGCTGACAGACACTGACCCCCTGGAGATGTCTGCTTCTTCGGGCTCTGGGCCCGATGCGGAGGTGGAGCCGCACGAAACGAAGCAGGAGATCCAGAATTGATGCACCATGTCGAGCAGCCAGTGCCGAGTACATCGAAGAGCGCTTGAATGACATTCGGAGCCTGGTCCTCCGAGTTGGGGCGGACTTGCTGCAGGTTGCCGTGGCGGACAGCTACACCAGCCAGCCGGAGGCGTACACACTCATGCTTCAACGAGGTCTTGAAGAAGAGGCAAGACTGGGACGCCAAGGAGCAGTCTTTCCTGACCCTGCCCGCGACAATCAGCGAGCAGCAGCAGCATGCCAAGGAGGAATGTAATGCACTCTCGATCTCCGTCTCCAGGCAGGAGCAGGCCATGCAGTCAAAGAGGACGGAGACGCCAAGCAGCAGCAACAGCTACTGCCGGAGCTTACTAATCTCGGGGAGCAGCTGCACATCGCAGTCAAGGAGATGTTTGCGCAGACCGCTGTCGCCTCGAAGCAGGAGGCGTGCAAAGGCCAGCAGCAGACTGATTCTGGAGACGAAGAATGCGCAGAAACATGTAGGCAACTAGAGTCCAAGAAAATACAGCTCAGGCAACAATCGAAAGAGGTGGCCCCGCTTGCAGCTACGGTCCGTCATTTGGAGTCGCAGAGGGAGCAGCTCCAGCATAACAACGTTTCCAGCAATTTGGCTTCCGATTGTACACGTAGTGAGTGTAGCTTTGCATCAACGCTTGCTGATTCAAAGAGCGAGGCCAGACGCAGCCGATTCTTATCTGGCTGGCCTGGGTAACCCCTCCCTCCCAGAACGGCCAGCTATAGGGTCTGTCGAGTCGCCTATTCCAGCGGAGCAGCCAGCCGAGGTCCCCAGCTCACGGCGCTCACCCTACCATTCCTTCCTCTTGCCTTCCCTTTTGCCTAGCTTTGGGCCCCTGGAGGGGGAGGAGGAGTACGGAGGCTACCGTGAGCGCTCGTGTTGCTACCTTCGGGTATCTCTGCGTGTGCGTGTGTACTGGGATCGGAGGGGGAGTACAGGAGGACCCTGCCCTTGGACCCCCGAGCTCACCACGAGATCGAGGTTTTCAGGGAGGCGCAGGTCCCGAGGAAGGCGAAGACTTTCCGAGAGCCCCTTCGGGCCAGTGCAGCGCATCCATCTCCATAAGCTTGAATGGGCCCACGGCGTGTTGGCCTGGCCCAGCCTCCTCCCCCTCTGCCACGCATCAGTTCCCCACGATCCCTTCTGCCCCCCCCCTCTTTTCAGCAGACTGTAGCATGCCACTCGCAGCTGAATCTAGCATGCCACTCGCAGCCAGCATTTTCAGTCGTGGAGTTGTGGGGTGGGGGTCGGGAAGAAGGGAGGATGGGGAGTTGGAGGAGGAACGAAGGAGAGTGCGCAGAGGCGAAGGCCCGAGCGCTGACCAGCCGCGAGCGGGTGACTTGCGAGCTTGGAGGCGCCGAGGAGGCCGAGAGGCCCAGCTTCACGCTCTGAAGGGGCGGCCCAGATGAGCTTCGGGATGGAAGGTAGGGGAATGCTCGGTGCTACCTGGTTTGGGCACTCCCTCCCTTCCCCTCCGTGCCGCGCCAACGACGCGCAAGAGCACAGGAGCTTGGGTTGGGCACATCCGTCCCTCTCCCGTCCCCCCATCGTTGTCTTTCCCTTCCCTTTTGCCCCATCCTTGAGCGCGTGCAGCCATTCTGGGTCTGTCTGTTCGGATTTTGGGGCTCGCGAAGGTGCGCGTGTGTGTGTGTGTGTGTGTGTGTGTGAGGATGTGTGTGCCCGTCAGCCAGTCAGCCCTCACCTTGCTGCCCCAGCGGCCGCCTTGTGAGCTGGCCCGGCCGGCCTGTTCTGCGCCCTGCAGCAAATTACGTCTGTTTCCGTGCCCCGGACAGCTTCTGTCGCCGCTTGTGCTCTTCGCTCGCGGCCACGACGAACAAAAAAGTGTGTGTGTGTGTGTGTGTGTGTGTGTGTGTGTGCGTGCGTGCGTGCGTGCGTGCGTGCGTGCGTGTGTGTGTGTGTGTGTGTGTGTTTGTGTGTGTGTGTCTGTGTGTGTGCGTTGTGTGTGTGCGCGTGTGTGAGGACGAGGTGGCAGAGGAGCCGCAATGAGGACCCGCAGCGGCTTTCCGCCTGGCCTGTCGCGCGCGCGCCCCTCGCGGGAGCACGGCGCCGGGGGCGGGAGGAAAAACCAGGAAGCCGCCGACGGCGGCGGCGGCGAGGCGAACGACGACGGCGAGGACAACGGACAGCGACGCACTGGCCATCGCTCGGACGTCCATTTCCTATGTTTTTTTCGGTTTCGTGCGTGGTTTTTTCGCCAAATGGTCGAGGATGCTCCTCGAAGGTCCTCGCCGAGAAAAAAATGCACACGTCCGAGCGATGCCAGGGGCGAGGGCGAACGACGACGGCGAGGGCAAAACGGACAGCGACGCGCACGGAGCAGCGAGAGCGACAGGGAAGGGCGGGAGCGACGACTGGGAGCAGGAAAACTAGGGAGGCCTCCTGCAGTCGGGGCGTTGACCTAAGGAACCCGAAATTCGCCGGCCCAACGGGCCAGAGGCGTGCTAAGATCTCCGGTAACTGGTTAACAATTGTATTGTACTAGTTCGCGCGCGCGGGGCGGCCCCTGGGGGTCCCCCGGCGAAAAGTACCCCGCCCGCCGCCTGGCAAGGTCCCGCCCGGTTCAACTCAGAGATGGTTTTCCTTCTGGGTGCGGCCTCTCAGGCCGCCCTGAGCGCGCCAAGAGTGCCCCAAGAGGCCCCCAAGATTGCTCAAGAGGCCCCCGAGACGTTCAAAGAGCGCTCCAAGGCGCCGAAGATGACCCCAAGACGGCCCAAGAGACCCCCAAGACAGCCGAAGAGGCCTTCAAGACGCCCCAAGAGCCTTCCAAGAGGCCTCCGAAGAGGGCCCCAAGAGGCCAAAATCGTTGATTTTCATTGGTTTTTCCGATGTTTTTTGCGTTCTGGCTTTTTCGGCTTCCGGACGCTCCAAGACGGCCCAAGAGGCCCCCAAGACCGCTCCAAGACGGCCCACGAAGCTCCCAAGACGGCCCCGAAACGGCCCAAGAGGGCCCCCAAGACGGCCCAAGTGCCGCCCAAGACGGACCAAGAGGCCCCAAGACGGGCCCAAGAGGGGCTCAAGAGGGATACCGAGAACTGAAAAATCGAGCCCTCCGTCCCAGAAGGCGCCCAGGAGGTCCCAAAGAGGCCCCAAGAGGCCTCCAAGAGGCCCCAAGATGTCGCCAAGAGGCCCCAGGAGACTCCCAGGAGGCCCAAAAGAAGCCCCAGAAGGCTTCAAACATGTCTCCCAGGCGCCCCCGAACGGCCTCTCAACAGACCCCAAGAGGCCCCCCAAAGAAGCATCTTGACGACGACTCTATTTCGCCCCATCGAGAGACGACCCCCAGGGAACTGCTTCACCATCAAAACTCCCCACGCAACGCGTCCGAACGACACCCGCCCCCAAGAGCGCAACATGGGCAACGAACACACACACACAAAAACCAGCGATGCCATATCACGGGCCGGCGGAATGAGCGAAGCGATTCAATAAGGAGCGAGGCCCCTTTCTCCCATCAGGTAAAGTTCGATGTCCCAGCGAACATCTGAGGAAAACCGAAGGCAAGCTGTGAAACGATCAAGGAACACGGAGCCCCTCCCCAACGAACAGGGTTCCTTCTTCAGCGCCCCGACTGTACATGGGGTCGGAGCCGATGGGGTCGGAGGATTGCGCCGCATCGCCGATGCATCGAAGGTGCATCACCGATGCGCCGCCGACGCCGGCGATACATCCGCGACGCCAGCGCGGAGAAAATTTTGACCCCCGCATCGAGCCGCATCGCCGATGCATCGCCGATGCATCGCCGATGCGGCGCGATCCTCCGACCCCATCTACTCCGACCCCATCTGGGAGGCCTCGAAGGATTACGTAGGAGCAGGAAGACGACGTAGCCATAAGCTCTCGGAGCTCCGCGCGGAGCTCCGAACGTGTCTGGTGATGCATGCTCTGCGCCTCGAGCGGTACTCACCGGGGGAGGGCGAGGGGGAGCGGGCCCAAGGCACGGCCCCGGCCTGGGTCAAGATTACCCCGAAGGAGTACACGATCATGAAGAGCAGCATCAGCGCCCAGAAGACGGACTTAGCGGCGCAGTAGATGGAGTGCACCTAACCAGCCTCGAACTTACCCCTATCCTTACGATTGTTGGCAGCGAGCGAGGAGGGGGAAATGAGAAGGAGAAGGTCTTCTCGGAAGGCGTCGGGACTTCCCAGGAGCCCTCGCGCCTTCTGAGAAGTTTTCTGCGTCTTCGGGAAAGGCTTAAGAAACTCCTCAGAAGGCCGGGGGCCTTCCGAGCCATCTGAGAAGGCCTACCCTTTCTCACTTCCCCGCCGAGATTGACAAGCCACAGGGCGACGACAATCTCAGGGGTGCGTCCTCAGAAACTGAGGTACTCCTCAAGATCGATATCGAGATGAGGCGATGCCCATCTCACAGGGGTGGGGGTATGTTCCAGGCTGGTGGGCACCAGCATCCGCAGGGGCTTCAACTGGCGAAAGGTCCGGACGAGGCGGAGGAGCCGGGTGAGGCGGAAGAGGCGCAGGAGCTTCGCCGTGCCGCCGGAGTCGAAGAAGCTGCCGCCGCCGCCGCCCGAGATCGCGTACATGCCGAACTCGAGGGCCACCTCGACGAGCGCCAGGAAGAGGATGAGGAGGTCGAACAGGTTCCAGATCCTCTCCTCCACGAAGAAGTCTGCCCTGAACACGTACAACCGCGCTGTGATCTCCAGCGTGAACAGGAGCGTGAGCGCATAGTTGGCCGCCGACAGGGCGTGCAGCGTCTGCTCCGAGCCAGACCCTCGGTACGCCTGGCTGGACAGCAGCTGGGTCTCGACGCCGATGAACACCGTGCTCAGTATCCGCCACCACACATTGCAGACGGCAGCCAGGCGTGTGCCGGGCCTCGTCCGTGCGCCTGTGTGTGTGTGTGTGTTTGCTCCCTCTCCCCCCGAATGCCCTCCCCAAATGTTTTCGTCTGCCGTCCGTGCATGTCCGTCCGTCTTCTCGTCGCCGCTTCTGAGTCTTGACACGCGGTTCCCACTTCACTTGTAAACTGCGTGCGGATGCGGATGCGTGTGTGTGTGTGTGTGCGTGTGTGTGTGTGCGTGTGTGTGTATGTGTGTGCGTGTGTTTCAGGCTTAGTTTCTTCACAATTCTGGCTTTAGTATCCATTCGCATGTGCAGTAAAGTACGCAACACTTGAAGTTAGGAGTGCTCGAGCGAAGACAGCGGAGTAGGTTGAGATGAGCCTCAAGGGCCCCGCTCAGAACTCCCCGTCCATTGCTGTTTTGCTCTAGCCGTGTTGGCAGACTGTTGGCTTAGGTCGACGCTCAAACTACTATCGGGGATTGTAGTGCACACATGTGTGGGTTTACAGTCTGCGGCATGGCGTGTTCGTGTTGCTGACTGTGCAGTTCTAGACAGTCAGCTAAGCAGGTGGAAAAGGAGTCGAGGGCCGTGGCCGCATGCTGCCGCCGATCTTGATTATCCTCACGTCTATTTGCTCTTCACCATCGTGTGTTCGGGTCCGTCTGGAGCTGGTCTGTATGGCTGGTGTACCACCGACCCTTTCCGTATCCTCTCCATGTCAGTCAACATCCCCGACTACTCCTGCTCCCACTTCGCCTACACCTCCGACCCTGCAAAGCTACTACGGAGCTGAGCTCCAACGTGGGCTGCGAAGTCGGGAACGAGTTCGCCTCCCTGCAAGTCGAGCTGCAGATGGCATCCTACGTCAGGAGTTAGGCCGCATAGGCAGCCTAGGACACGCCCTGAATTTCCCGACGCACCTTCTTTTTCGACGTGAGCCCCAGGAGCACAGCAGGTTGTTCATGAATTTCTGGTCCAGCGTTCTCTGGCAGCTGCTGGTGGACACACCTCACCCCGCCTTCCTGAAGTCCCTCGACCTCCTACAGCATGACCTCCTACTTCACCTCCGTAAACCTTTTCCCCACCTTACCCAGTTTGGTTGGGATTGTGTGACTACGGTGGTCTTGGGGAGTACGATATGAAAGCTACGCTGTGGTCTCTTGGGAAGCAGAAGGCAGTCTTGGTGCTGCCTCAGGGCCATACGAGCCCTCCCACTAGGCTTCCAAAAGGCGCTTGTACGTAGGGGCCCAGCAGACCTCATCCACACGTTAGACCTCATCGAGCTGCTCCGACTTCAGACCTCTGGAGTTTTTGGAGATTCCCAGAGTGTAGGTGCCGAGCGTGCGTATATTTACCAGCTTGGCCTTCGAAGCAGATACATAGGACAGGCTTCCCAGAAGCGTACTCATGGCGAGATGTTTGGTTTCTCCCGCAGGCTACGTGAACACCTCCGCGCATGGACGCAGGTGGCCGTCGGCAAAGCCATTTTCAGTAGCCCCCAGAGCAGAAGATATCACACACTCCTACCAGGAGATGGCGGCATGAGTTTATCGGCCTTGATCATAGGTGTCGCAGATGTTGGTAACGCATATTCGCTGGAGTCGGAATATATAAACTTACACCGACCCGAAGCCAATCACATACCTACACCTCTCCTTCGTGGACCCCGCGGACCCCGAAAACGCCCTCGACGAAGGTATAATAGTCGGTATGCGAGTTCGTCGAGTCGATCCCTACGTACCTTCCAGGACCAGGATGATGAATGGCACTCACAGTGCCTTGAACGACTTTGCCAACGACATATGGCAAGACAATTTTTTCTTCAGAACCGTAGTGAATTGCAGACGCTCCTTCGGTACCCGTTTAAGCATGTATATCAAGAATTTCAGCGTCGTGGATTTCAAACGCATGGACAGCTCGGACCCATCGATGTACATGGTAAAGGGTATCTACCATTATTATTACAGTATGTTGCGATCAGGCCACAAGATGTTGAATGGGACCGAGCTGCCAACCGACGGTTTCACCCAGCAGATTTTTGCTTCGTGGTATTGTCAGCTTGCAGTCTTCTTCCTCACTATCATGATCGATTACGCGCTCGGGCTTATGCCAAGCAAGCCGCGGAGCGCGGCGAACATCTTTTGCCTCAGGCCGGTTTCCTCTTGGTCCCGTCGCCGGCCTGGAACGCACGGGTGCGACGGTGGCTTCAGCATGTCCTTCACCGAGAAGGGGCTGCGATGCCCCACTGGGTTTCCCTGGTTCGACGTTGTACCAGCATCGGCCAAAAAACACCCAGTCCGATGAAGCGGGACGTTTTGAACATCACCAAATATTTGAATCAATTTCGGTTTGAGGACTTTGCGAACCTGGATCCCGAGCTTTTGGAGAAAGTTGTGCAAGGACATGATGCAGCTAGGCTCCCACTTAATGGTCGGACACCTCGTGAGCTTTTTCCCGCCGAGGCTCGCGATGCAGTTTTGGAGTCTTGTGGAAAGTGGTTGAGGCAGCATGGTCTACCTCACGCTCGACTTGGGCCACTTCGCTGCTCAGCCACAGCTCCCCACAGCAGCCAGTCATCCTCTGCCAGTTTTGCACGACACACAGCGAGCACGATTCAGTCTTTTGCAGGCATGGGCCTCACAGCCTGTGTCACTGTCGAGGATAAGGATCCTAATGCGATGTGGGTGATGTGTAGCTTCTGTATCTTAGTACGATTGATATACCTTATTAGCCGAGTTCCCCACCGCTGGAAGCTAAACACATCCCCTATTTCAGATGTTGTATCCTGGTATCGGGTCCTCTTGGATTGGACTATGCCTCGGAAGCTTTTCAGAGGAAAATCAAGGTTTAGCGTCAAGAACCTGCCCTACTCTTATCCTACGGTAAAGCTAAAGTGTTGGACCCCCGAGGGCAAGCACCGATGCACTGACAAGACGCACTCATGCTTCCGAAATATATGCTCTTTCTGCAGGATCCCTGGCCGACGCCTTTTTCGACAGGTCGGCCGAGGTGTGCACCACATTCTGCGGTATGTCACGTCAGGGTGGAGCCTGCGGGACATGAGCCAGGCTTTCGACCTCTTGCGCCAACGCATTCAGGCCCTGGACCCTCCAGTGCGTGACCCTCGCTCTGGTGCTTACTGCTGCGTCGCATGTGGCACTGCTATGGTTCATCCTACCATCGTCGTCGCTGATGCAGGCCAGGCGTACGAAGACCTCGACTCGCACGAAATCGAAAAGGCAATCGACCAGCTATTCGACCAGATACCTCGACACACTCGTTCGCATACTATCACGATCACCGATAAGAAACGTGGCTTCGAAACTCGTTGGGGTGGAAACTATGCAGTGCCGCATGCTGACAGGTGTATTTTCAGTTTCAAGTCGCTGCGCAGATGCCTTCTTGGTTTCCTTGGGATGCGACTATACCGCATCGGCAACTTTTGCTTGGAACATATCAAAGGTATCCCCATTGGAGGCCCATTGTCGGGGTGCATTATGGAAATCGTTCTAAGCTGCGCTGAGACCTCTCATGATGCAGGTCAACCAAAAAGGAGGAAACATGTTGCGGCAGGTAGATATGTTGACGACTTGGGCCTGTTCTCTCGTACCCTCTGTCGTGCCTGTGTCTCTCGGATGATAGGGCAGGTGTATAAAAACATTGTCAAGTTTAAGGTCGATGACTCTTTCAAGATTGTCAATGACACCATAATCGTTCAGACGTTTCTAGATTCGGAGGTCCACCTGAGTTTCACAGAGTTCACCCTAGAGCCCCTTCATAAGAATGAGAAGTTTGCCTGGACTAGAGCCCTACCAAACCTCGCCAAACAATCAATTCCCCCATACGCCTTTAAGAGAGATCGTGCACTCCTTAAACGACACCGAGCCGGACTTAAAGGACGTTTATCCCGTTGGAAGGGTTTGACGGATAACATGCACATCATAACGTACCTCATCATAGTCGACATCCTTGTATATTTAAGGCTTGGCTACCCCTTCACGTTTGTGCTCAAGCTTTGGGTCCAGGTTCAGCCCCGTACTGAGCTCCAGGACGTGATTCGGGTCGCCCTCCAGCTAATCTACAAGACGTGTCCCGATCTTGTCAAGGCCCAGGACCCCAATCAGCCCTCCCTGGCCACCTCGTACGGTCGCTATTGCGCTCAGGCTCAAGATCACGTACGTCTGGCCTCGTCCTTCGCTCCGCCCTGTGCTTCTTCATCCCCGACACCCTGCCTGTCCAGAGCTGCTATGGGCGGCGCCCCGTGGGGAGGCAAGGGCAGCTGGGGCGGCAAGGGACGTGGTCCCCGTGGCCCCTACCAGCCGAGGCAGGGAGGCGGAGGTGACAGTCTCATGGGGTTCGCCAACCAGTTCAATGACATGATGGGCAGCCTGGCGTCGTTCGGGCAGATGGCCCAGCTTGGCAGTGCACTGGCGACAGCTCAGGCCAAGCAGACAGCTGGGCATGGCGGCAGTGGCAATGCTCCGACGACCCCGACCCAGCCGAGCACGATGCAGACGCACGAGTTGGCCTCCGTCCTGACCACCATGCTCCAGGGGCCCCCGAGTGCTGGCCCTACGGGCAACGCCGACGGGGCCCCACAGCAGCGTGGCACAAAGGGCGACTCCCGCCTCCAGAACACCGTGCGGCGCCTGGCAGAGTTCGTCAACAACGGCGAGCCTGCTGGGCCCACCGTCGCCCTTGAGGATCAGCCCGCTTTCAAGCGCCTGCGAGCTGAGATGGAGGCCCTCTCCAAGCGCACAGGCTCGATGGAGGAGTCGATGCAGGTCGTGAGCAAGACTGCCGAAGAAACGAACCAGGGCGTCAAGCAGCTAATGACTATGATGCAGCAGCGGGAGGACCCGTGGTTGCGCGGCCGCGGAGGCAAAGGCAACCCTGGTGGGAAAGGCAGCGGCGATTTCACCAGCCAGATCGGTGCCGCCGTCGAGGGTTGCGCCTTCCAGAAGACGATGACGGCAGAGTTGCACGCGGAGGCCCTAGGCCATATCGGAGTCAGTGCAACCAGACGCGAGGCGAAGGCCCTCGCGGAGAGCCTCCCGATGGAGTTCAAGCCGTGGTGGGAGGCGATCGCTCCCCTGAAGGGGACCGTCCAGTGGCGCAGGAAGCTCGAGAGTCTCGGTGCCACCGAAGAACAATACAAGGAGGCGAACACCGAGGCCGTGGGCAACCTGCTCTTCCGCTACTTGGTGGACGACGGCACGTGGTCCGACACGCCTCTCCAGGACAGCCCGCCCTGATTGCCTAGCCGTGCCCGGACACCTTCCCTTGCGAGGGCGAGGCTGGCGTGCGTTTCGACAATGCCGAAATTGTCTCTGCCGTCTATTGCCACGGTCATGCATGTAACAGTTATCTGTGTGTGCGTTTGTTTCGTTTGCCAGACATGTTTAGTTCTACAGGTTGTACGGCAGGGTGTTTCAGCGGTCGTGGACATTTTTGCCTTTGCCTTCTATCGGGCAGCCCCATATGCGACAGGCATTGGCTGTGCGCAGTTGCTCTCGGGCTGGCTCCCACAAGATCTCACAGGTATGCTTTCACATTTCGTACCTTCGCTTGTTCCTGGATCGACGCTCCATGATGAGTCTGACGAGATGGACTGGGATCCTGTTTCACCCAGTCCCCCACCCTACTCTCCCTCCCCTGTCGTCGGCCTCCCTTTCCTATTCTACCTCTTCCGTACTTTCCGCAGGAACCGCCCATAGGATCGGCCGTCCGAACCCAACGTCCGTGGTGGTTCACGGCGCTCAGGACGCTGGTATCCGACATGCACCACACACGCCCGCCACGGAGGAGGACGCCTTTGACGGGCTTCAAGGGAGCTGACCGCGCTCTTTTCTCTGCTCTGATCCCCTCCCTACAGTGGCGGCTTGTGTGTGTGCGTGTGCTTCAGTGTTAGTTTCTTCACAATTCTGGCTTTAGTATCCATTCGCATGTGCAGTAAAGTACGCAACACTTGAAGTTAGGAGTGCTCGAGCGAAGACAGCGGAGTAGGTTGAGATGAGCCTCAGGGGCCCGGCTCAGATCTCCCCGTCCATTGCTGTTTTGCTCTAGCCGTGTTGGCAGACTGTTGGCTTAGGTCGACGCTCAAACTACTATCAGGGATTGTAGTGCGCACATTTGTGGGTTTACAGTCTGCGGCATGGCGTGTTCGTGTTGCTGACTGTGCAGTTCTAGACAGTCAGCTAAGCAGGTGGAAAAGGAGTCGAGGGCCGTCGCCGCATGCTGCCGCCGATCTTGATTATCCTCACGTCTATTTGCTCTTCACCATCGTGTGTGTGTGTGTGTGCGTGTGTGTGTGTGTGCGTGTGTGTGTATGTGTGTGCGTGCGTGCGTGCGTGCGTGCGTGCGTGCGTGTGCGTGTGTGTATGTGTGTGCGCGTGTTCACGCCTTGGTGGGCGGTCTGCCCGTCGCTCCCTCACCCGATATCGGGGCACCGCTGCGCTTCCTCGCGGCGCCCTTCCTGCCCAACGCGCTGCGCACCACATCCATTTGCCGCCACTCCCCCGCTCTCCCCCTCTCTTCAGCGACACGCTCGAGTGACCCTGGATAATGCGGGATGAAGATTAATCAAAAATCAGAGAGAAAGATCAAAAACAAAGTTTTCTGTTTTTTCTGCACAAGTTTCTGTCTGGAGGAGAACGCTTAAAAAATAGTTTTCCTGCCCGCGGCCGGTTTTTTTCTAATCGTCATCCCGGGCGCCGCCGCGTGAACACGACCCCCAGTCATTTATTAATCGTCATCCTCCATTAAGAGTGACCTCTGGTGCGCAACTTTCGGGGGGGCACAAGACGCCCAAATCCGAGCGCGCGAGCCGCTGCTGCCGCTTCGCGACCCGAGATCGGGGGACCCCACTGGGCCCGCGCCAAAGGTCACTCCGGCGAAAGGTCACTCTGACGTGCAGTCGATCTCTCCATTCTCCTCGAGTCGGGGATCTTCTGACCCAGGTCAATCCAGACCCGGGTCAGCAAGAAACCAAAAACTGAAATGCAGGACAAACAAAAATTGCAACGCAGGTCCTCGCAAACCCGGGTCAGCCAATATGCGCGGCCGCCCTCGCGGCCACGAGCGGCTCGCTAACCCGGGTCAGCCAGAGGGGGTTTTCGCAAGATCCTGCAGGATCCGGCGGTGCCGTGGCTGACCCCCGTCTGCATTGACCCCCGTCTCAAGGCCCCCGATCGAGTCCCGTCGCGAGTGACCCGGTCGATCCCCTATGGCAGGATCCCGGGCCCCCCCGCCGCGTGCGCCGGCCCTGCCGCGGGCTCGCTCCCCCTCTCGGCTGTCTGCGCCGCGTCGCCGCGCGCGTGGCCGCAGCGCCAAAATGAGAGTGTGTGTCTACCTGGTCAGCTGACTTAAAACAAGGCTAGGATCGGGATAGATCGCTCCAGAGCGTTCCGGAGCGCTCTCAGAGCGTTCCGGAACGCTCTGGAGCGGCCGCGGCGCCCAATACATCCTCCAAACCCGCCGATTCTCAGAGATTTCGATTTATCCCGATCCGATGTTGTCCCGATCTTCGCGTCGTTTTATGACTTGGCCTGCTGGTGGCGCTCGTTGCCACCTGCTCTCGCGGCCGCCGGTCCGCTCGGGTCCTCTCTCCTGTCTTGTCCCGATGCTCTGCACCGCCCGGTGTCTCGGCCTCGGGTTGCCACTGCGCGCGTGGGAGTCGCCGTCGCCCTCTCAAGGGTCCCAAAAGAGTCCTTCGGAGGCCGACAAGCTGCCCGAACACATCAAACGTCGATCCTCGAATGTCGCCGCCGTCGGCACAGGCGACGTCGGCGACCGCCTTCGCGTTCGCTGCCGCCTTCGCCGCCGCCGCCGCCGTCATCGTCGTCGTCATCGTCATCGTCATCGTCACCGTCGTCGTCGTCGTGGCGGTCGTCGCCGCCGCAGCGTGGGTAGCGGACGCGCGCGGTGCAGCGCGGTTGGATGATCAAACAGGCAATGAGGACGGTGAAGCGCCGGCTCTTCACGAACCAGGTCAGGGAACTCTCCTGGAGCAGCGGGGGGGACGAAGGCGAACCACATTGCCGCCCTGCCGTGTCGTGCCCGCGTGGTGTGCCGTGCCTAGGCGTCGTGCCCCCCCCAAAACAAAACCGAACTGTGAACAAAACTGCCAACTTAGGGGAACAAAAAGTGACATGAACATGAAAACTCGGAGGTCCGCGCGGATTTCTCGGATCGGCGCTGGGGCCCCCTGGCGGCGCCTCCGGCGCCGCCCCTGGCGCGCTCCGCGCGCCAGGGAGGGGGTCCCAGCGCCGATCCGAGAAATCCGCGCGGACCTCCGAGTTTTTATGTTCATGCCACTTTTTGTTTCCCTGCAACTGCCTAAAGCAGGGCTAGGATCGGGATAAATCGCTCCAGAGCGTTCCGGAGCGCTCTCAGAGCGTTCCGGAACACTCTGGAGCGGCCGCGGCGCCCAATACATCCTCCAAACCCGCCGATTCTCAGAGATTTCGAGTTGTCCCGATCCGATTTTGTCCCGATCTTCGCGTCGTTTGACTGCCGCCCGCGTGCCCCGCCGCGCCCGCGTGCCGCAGCAGGCGCGCCGCGTCCACAGATCCAAGGCGCTGCAGACGTGTTGCCGCGCGCGCCCCGTGTGACGCGCCGTGCCCGCACGCCGTGCCGGGCGCGTCGCGCCCCTAAAGCCCCAGGCTGCCAAGCAAGCGGCCGCCCGCATGCCGTGCGGTGTAAGCGCGCCCCCGAGAGCCGAGGCTCGCCGTCGCTCGGACGTCCATTCCCTGTGCTGTTTTCGGCTTCGTGCGTGGTTTTTTCGCCCGATGGTCAAGGATGCTCTTCGACGGTCCTCGCCGAAGGAAAGATGCACACGTCCGAGCGAGGCCAGGCACACCCCAGGCTGCCAAGCGAACGGCCGCCCGCCTGCCGTGCCGTGCTGGGTCAGCGCGCGCCCCCGAGCGCCGAGGGAGGTGCTCGACGAGAGCCGAGAGCCGTGCCGTGGCCGTGGCCGCGTCAGCCTCTGTGCGCGTGCCGTGCCGTGCCCGCGCGCCGAGAAGACGTGCCCGTGCGCAGTTTTTCCGGGCACCGTGCGCCTGAGCAGGCAGGCGTGGAGCTTGTGGGGCCCCTGTGCTGGACGGTGCACGTGCCTGCCGCCCGAGGATTCTTCGAGCGCCCCCTCCTCCCCCACAGCGTCCTCCCAAGAACGAGGGCAGGGAAGACGAGGAGGAGGACGACGACGAAGAGCACGACGAGGGGTGTTCCTCCTGTTTCCTCTCCTCCTCCTGCTCCTCCTCCTCCTCCTCACCTTCCTCGTGCTCCTCCCTCATACTCCCGACTCCAAATCCTCTCGCTCCTACCACGGCACCTCATCCCCCTCCTCCTTCTCCCATTGTTCCTCGTTCTCCTCGTCCTGCTGCTCCTTCTGCTGATCCTCCTCTTTCTCATCTTCCCCCTTCGTCACATCCTTCTTCTGGCCCTTCGTCTTCGTTTGACACTCTTTCTGTTTCACCAACTCCTCTCCCTCCTGAGATTCGTGCTCCTCCTCCTCCTCCTCCTCCTCCTCCTATTCCTCCCCCTCCTCCATTCGACATCGATGCCTCATGTCTACTTCCTCATCCACCTTTTCTCCGCCTCCCCCTCCCCCTGCGAAAACATCACAGAGGCGCCCAGGACGGCCCAAGAGGGCCCAAACAGAGCCTCAAGAGAGGCTCACGAGGGGGAGCTCGAACTGACACGTCGAGCCCTCCGCCCAAAGAGGGCCCCAGCGACCGCCAGCGGGCGTCCACCAGACCCAAGAGTCTCCATGTCGCCCGCAAGAGGCCCAACAGTTGCCCCAAAATAAGCCCTTCAAATGGTTCCCAAGAGGCAGACGAGGCCACACATGTGAACTTCGCTCCTCCAAGAAGCCCCCAGCAGAGCGGCTGGAAAGTTTCTGCCACACGTGCCGCCGCAGGTGTATGAACTTTCAGCAGGAGCAGAGCGCGCGAGCGGGCGAGCTCCACGAGCAGCGAACGTATCCATGTCCGTGCCCCTGCGGTTTGGCTTTCGCGGCGCGATCCCGCGGACACAAGGTCGCGCGAGCGCGCTCCGCGCAGGGCAATCCGCGAACCGACCGCCCCGTGCCCACGGGGTCGCGCCCCAGGGAGTCCCCCACGAGAGTTGTCGCTGCTCGTCGGAGCGCCTCGCGAGGAGAGCGGCGCCCGGGGCGCGGCGCAGATCGGGCCCTCGCCGGTCCTGCCGGAGAGCAGGCCGCGCACGAGCAGGCGCAGTGTGGCGCTCGCGCCGAGGGGCGCCGCCTCTGCGCGCGCGGGCAGCGTGTGGCTCCTTCGCCGGGGTGTCGGGCACGCGGCAGCGCCCTCCGTTTGCCAGGTTTGGCGGCGCGCACAAGGGGGTGGGGGGAGGGGGGGAGGGCTTCTGAGAAGGAGGCTGCTTCTTAGAAGGCGCCGGCCTCACATCTATAAAGAAGGCCCGCGCCTTCAACGAAGCAGGGGTGCTTCTAAGAAGCCCTACCCCCTCCCCCCACCCCCCTCTGCGCGTGGCCGACAGGTGAGGGCGCGCGCCCAGCCACCAATTTGCCCAGGTGTGCCGGCGTTGGTTCTTCTGTCGTGGGTGGGAGGGGGGGGGGGCCAGGAGCCGCGGGAGAATGCCTGAGAACTGCGCCCAGGCTCGGGGGCGGTGTGTTTCTGCCTGCCACAACCGCAGTGGGAGGGGGGCCGCGCGCAGGAACAGAACCTGTCTCTCGCCCACACCCCGTAGGCTGTTTTCCTGATAGTTGCATTGCCGCTTGCTTCATGAGCAATTTGCCCACCCGCGTCCAGCCGTAGCGACGATCACCGCGGAAAACGCCCACGCAAAAAGACATCGACTTTGTCGTTGTCGTCGTCGTCGTCGTCGCCCGTCGTCGCCCCGCCCATGGCGCAAATCTTTGCCCGCCAATGCAGTCCAACCCGGGGCCACGTCACAGGTCCCTGAAACCCTGAAACCGCATCATTGACACCTCTTCGGGGGCCATCCTTTACTGTCGCCGGCATTTGCTGGCTTTCCGCCAGCGAAAGCAGAGGCGGCTCCGCTGGCCTTCCGCCGCCGTCCGCCGGGGCCGCCCAGGAACAGATGAGAGATCTTCTGATCCTCACAGGGTAGGCCCCTTCAGGAGTGCCCCCCACGTGGCAGGAGGGTGCATCGTCGGAGCAGGCGGAGCAAGCTGCTGCGCAGTGGACCTCGACCGCGCCCTGCGAGAGAGAGAGAGAGAAAGAGAGAGCCCACACGCCCGACGGGCGGCGCACGCACAGACGTCAGTGCGAGGAGGAGACCCAACGCTCGACGACGGCGGCCCACGAAGGGACGGAGATGAAGCCTCGGGCACACGGCGGACATGGGTTACGGTCGGGAGCTTTTGCTCAGCGTGTCGCTGCAGCGGCCCCGGCGACACGCTATGCCCTGCAAGCGGACGGCGTGTCGCTCCGCTTCGCGGGACGGGAGGCCCGAAGCTGCTCGGAACGCTGACGCTCAGGTCGGGCATGCGCGTGCCACATCATGATCCCTCCGCGTGGGAACTCCCACAACTCAGTGACCCGCCTCCCCTTTCTCTTCCTCTTCTTTTCCTCCTCCTCAGATTCCTCCGACTCCTGCTTTGAGGAGGAGAAGGATGAGTCCCTCTCCTCCTCCTCCTCATCCTCCTCTCCATCTCTCGTCTCCTCCTTGTCCATCGACAGGACGGTGCTCAGCATCCTCATGGAGCCCTCCGTCCTCCTCACGGCGCGGTTGAACTGCCACAGCCCCTGGGAGGACGAGAGGAGGAGGAGGAGGAGGAGGAGGAGGAGGAGGAAAAAGGAGGAGAGGGGGGGAGGAAGTGGAGGAGGGCGGAGGTGAGACGACGAGCAAGAATGAGAAGAAGGGATGAGGAACGGAACGAGACAAGAGGTAATACGTGGGCAAAAACAAATATACATGATGATGACGAGAATGCTGATGATGGTGGTGGTGATGCTAATAATATTGATGATGTGTGTGAGGGGGGTGGAGGCCGAGGAGAAGAAGGATGCGATTCGAGGAGGAGCGGGAAGAGTGGGAGACAGGATGAGGATGAGAATAAGGACAAGGGACAACCACGAGAAGGAAGAACACGAGGAAGAGCAACAGCAGGATCATACCGAGTATAACGATGCTGGCAAGGATGACTTTCTCAAGCTGGTGATTGCCCCTCGAACACATGACAGCACACATGCTAACCCCAAACACCTCCTTTGAGCACCCAAGCCCCCCACCCGATCTCTTTCCAATGCCGATCCTCCTCTCTCTCCTTCCCCTCCCTCTCCTCCTGCTCCTCCTCCTCTTGTTTGGTCATTATGATTGGTTTCCTCATGTGTATCGATTATTCTTCATTTGCTGTTGAAAGGAAGGGAGGAGGAGGAGCAGGAGGAGGAGGAAGAAGAGGAAGAGGAGGAGGAGGAGGAGGACGGGGAGGAAGAGGAGGAGAAAACGGGGACGGGGGCTCGGTAGCGTCAACGTGTCCAAGTGGGTTCAGTGGAGATTCGGGATGTGGCGCTCCAGAGGGCTTCAGGTCGGGAGGAAGGTCGGAGGAGAGGGGGAGCGAGGAGCTCGAGACGAGGTCGAGGACGACGACGACGAGCAGAGGAGCACGACGAGGTGGAGGGGCCTTCAGTGACACGCACGAGGGGCGCATCGCGGAGAAGGTGCTGACCCTGTGGGGGATCGCTGCTCGTCGCCGCCTCCTCCGCCGCCGACGACAGCCACGACCCCAGCGTTGTCCTTCTCTGTCCCTCGGTCTCCCCCCGGTTCTCCTAGATGTTCCTCCCCCATCGCCCCTCCCTCAGTGCGCGCCTCATCCTCCTCATGGTGCTCCTCCCCTCGTCCCTCCCTGAAAGCACGCCTCGTCCTCCTCCTGATGCTCCTCCTCCCTTCCTCTCCCTTGTCCTCCTTGCCCCCCCTCCTGGTGCCCTGCATCCCTTTTCGCTCAGATCGGCCACCGTGCCCGGGGGCACGGAGTGGGCGTGTCTTCAGGTCCTTTGCCTTATCCTCTGAACCTCAGCCCTCAGTCCTGAGGAGTTTCTTTCGGGTATGGACAGACCCCCCTTTAGTAAAACGTGGTTTCGTGAAAACGACCTGCGGCCCAAACCTGGCGGGCGCAAGCCTGGAAAATAACGGCCACGGCGCCCTCTCGAGAACCGAGAACGGACAATTCACTAATCGACGTGTCACTGTTGGGGGTTCTGTCCACCCTCGATTCTTGAGGGCCCAGGCGCAACATTCTCCAATCTCTTTTTGCTTCCCGCGTGCCCCCTGGGCTCCAGGCCCTCCTCCCGCACGGCTCTCTTTCTGTCCCCAGGAGGGCCCGAGGCTGGGCCAAGTGGGCTCCCAGGAGGCCCCCAAGAGACGGTCCAAGAGTACCCCGAGACGTCGAACGATCGCTCGAAGACGCCCAAGAGGGCCCGAAGACGGGCAAAGAAGCCTCCAGTACGGCCACAAATTTCTCGAAGAGGCCTCCAAAGACTGCCCAAAGAGGCCCAAATCTTATAGTTCCTTAGGTTCTTGTAGGTTTGTGGTGATCTCACTTTCAGGGCTTTCCGACGCTCCATCCCTCAGAGGCCACCACGACCGCCCCAAGACGGCCAAAGAGGCCTCCAAGAGGGCCCCAAGACGGCCTAAGAGCGCCCCAAGACAGCCCAAGAGGCGCCAAGAGGGCCCCAAGACGGCCCCCAAATGGGCCTAAGAGAGGGAGCACGAACCGACAATCCAAGCCTTCCGCCCCAAGAGGCCCCCAGGAGACCACAAGAGGCGCCCAAGAGGCCCCAAGAGGCCTCCAAGAGACCCCCCACAGGCCCCAAGAGGCCCCCAAGAGGCTCCAAACGGCCCCCCAAAGACCAGAGGTTCCAAGAGGTCCCAAAGCGGCCGCCAAGAGGCGTCACACCTGCCTCCAAGAGGCCCCCGAGAGGCCCCCACGAGATCCCACCGAACGTCCGATAGACTCCAAGACCATAGCCCAGGCACGGCGGCGGGATGGGCCGAGGGCCATCCTAGAACTCCTCCCTGTTGCAATCCCCAGGCGTGCCGGCAGGGCGTGCCTGGCGTGTGACCTGGGACTTCCTGACCCTTGAGGACCCTCGAACTTGATTTTTGCATTTCCTTCACGAATGGAGGGCGGGTGGTTTTCAAAATGTGGTTCTCGCTTTGGCGCCGCGCATTGATCCAATGTTTGAAACTGTTTCAAGTATGAAGGCGGGTTGCTTTCAAAAGGTGGCTCTCGCCGTAGCGCCGCGCACATTCGCTCCGAAAGTGTGCAACCCTTTCACGGATGGAGGGCGGTTCCATTCCAACATGTGGCTCTAACGTCGGCGCCGCGTACATTCGCCTTACAAGTTTGCAGCAGCTTCAAATCTCGAATTAGCGCCGCGTGCACTCACTTTGAACATCGGTGATGCGTCTTGGCTTTGCACTGGTCGTCGTCCTCCTCCTCCTCCTGCTCATTCTCCCCCTCCTCCTCATTCTCATCCTCCTCGTCCTCATTCTCCTCCTCTTCCGGTGGCAATGGCGGCCCGTATTCTCGTCCCCTTTCCCCTCAGCGTCCTCCTCGTCCTCCTTTTCGCCGTCCTCCTAATCCTCCTCCTAATCCTCCTCCTCCTCCTCCTCCTCCTCCGCCTCCCCGTGCCGAAGGCTACCCGCATCCTTGGGGTTCGAGTCTTGTGAGGGACGCACGGGGCGCTGGTAAGAGAGTGCGAATCTAGCACTCTCGACGAGCACCCTCACAAGCACCCCAAAGGCCAGGGAGCCCGGGCGACACCAGCTCATTCATTCTTTCATCCTGCCTCCCCGCTGCTTCTCCTTCTTCTTTGGCCTCTCATCCTCCTGTCCCCTGTTCCCTGCCACGTGCTGCACGGCAGCATGTTGCTTCCCTTTTCTCTCGTTTCCTGTGCCTTCCTCCGCGCTCTCCTGCTTTCTCCCCCTTTGCCTTGGCCTCGCGCTGGGTCTCCTGCTTCTCGCTTCCCTTCGCTCTCGCTTGTCCCCTTCGGTGTGCTTTCTCCCCTTTTCTGCCCTCCCCGTTCTGTCTTGCTCGCTTCGCTGCGGTCTCCTGCTTGTCCGCTGCTCCCATGCTCGTGCGTACGATGATCGCACAAGGTGGCGAAGGCCGCCACCTCCTTCGCCCTTGCACCCTTCTCCTCTCGCCTCTTGCTCCCTTCTTTGCGCTCTCCTGGCCACCCATCTTCCACCATGCTGATGCCTGCGATGTGCGCGCACGGTGGCGCCTGCCACCGCCCAAATCTCTCTAGTGCGCGTTGGGGCGCACTTGGCGGCGTAGACCGCCACCCCGATTCCATCCCTCTCGCTGCTCGCTCACATCGCTGCGCCTTCCTAAGCTCACATATTCCCCCACTGCTCGTGCGTGCGCTGTTGCGCGCACGGTGGCGTAGGCCTCCACCCCAACCTCTAACAGTGGGGGTGCCCAGCACGTTCACACGCCATTGTCGTGAGCGGTCGTCAGACCTCCCGTGCTAGCACTGGAGTTATGCACCCTCTCTTTTGCCGCTGCTGCCGCCGCTACGCTTCATTAGGTTGGCTGTATTTCTATATATACATATATGTATATATATAGATACATATACATACACATATGTTTTGGCGGCGCCCCCCCTGGGACTACCGCCACTCTCGACCCCGTTACTCGGGACCCCGGGGGGGCACATGCTGAGAGGACCGTGATCCCACAAAGTGGGATAACGAATGCTGACCTCCATTAGGTCGGTTGTACTCTATCTATATATACACTTATATTTTGGCGGCGGCCCCCCTTGGGACTACCCGCCACTCTCGACCCCGTTCCGCGGGGCCCCGGGGGGGGCATATACTGAGAGGAACGTTATCCCACAAAGTGAGAGAACGCATTGACGCACGCGCAGTGGAAGGAACGACGGTGGTGGAATGGCAAGCTGAAAGGGGATGCGCTCTGCGTCGAGGCTCAGAGCCTCCATCTGCTCCCGCATTGTTCGTTTCAGCTTTGCGCTGATCGTCCCAAACCTTCGACGCATCAGTGGGGAGAGGGATAGGAACTCTTCCCGCAGGGGTTCACGTGCGCCCCTCGCGTGGGGATGTGCTCTGTGTCAGCGCTCAGAACTTGCATCTGTCCCCGCATACTCCTGGGACAGGTACTCGAAGGGCCAGCGCCCTGATTTCAAAAAAGGGCCCGCGAAGTGCCTGGAGGATTACATGTCCCTTGCCACACTATTGCGTTCGTAGTTCTGTGCGTTCCTCCCTCTCCCGTCTTTCATCTGTGCACCAGACGCAGGGGGGGTCAGGGCAGTGGGGAGGATCTGGGTGGCCTTTCACAGGGACACTTCCACGCCGCTTCGGCGGCTGGCGTGGCGTAGGCGAGCCAGCCCAGCGGGCTGACAGCGCTGCGCATTACAAGCCTGGGTACCACGCTAGCCAAAACAAGTGCCCGCGCCACCGTCCGCCCCCTATCCTACCAGAATCTGGCGCATCATGTCTGAGACCCTCATCGTCTTGCCCCCGTCCTCGATTGGCCCTCCCCGCACCTTTTCCCCCCTTCCCCCCCGTTCCTTCCCCTTATTCCTTAGCCTCTCTTCCTGCTGTCCCATGTTCCCTGCCACGTGCTGCACGGCAGCTGTTGCTTCCTTTTTCTCTCGTTTCTTGTGCCTCTCTCTCTCTCTCTCTTTCTCTCTCTTTCTTTCTTGTTGTCTCTCTCCCTCTCTCTCTCTCTCTCCCTCTCTCTTTTCTCTGTTTCTTTCTCTCGCTCTCTCTCTCTCTCTCTCTCTCTCTCTCTCTCCCCCCTCTATCGCGTTCTTTCTTCCAATCTCGGTGTGCTTTCTCACCTTTCCTGCCCTCCCCTTTCTGTCTTGCTCGCTTCGCTGCGGTCTCCTGCTTGTCCGCTGCTCCCATGCTCGTGCGTGCGATGTTCGCACAAGGTGGCGCAGGCCGCCACCCCCATCGTCCTTGCATCCTTCTCCTCTCGCCTCGTGCTCCCTTCTTGCGCTCTCCTGGCCATCCATCTTCCACCATGCTTGTGCCTGCGACGTGCGCGCACGGTGGCGTCTGCCACCACCCAAATCTCTCTAGTGCGCGTTGGGACGCACTTGGCGGCGTAGACCGCCGCCCCGATCCCATCTCTCTCGCTGCTTGCTCACATCGCTGCTTGCTCGCGCGTGCGCTGTTGCGCGCACGGTGGCGTAGGCCTCCACCCCAACCTCTAACAGTGGGGGCGCCCAGCACGTTCGCGCGCCATTGTCGTGAGCGGTCGTCGGACCTCCCGCGCTAGCACTGGAGTTCATATGCACCCTCTCTTTTGCCGCTGCTGCCGCCGCTGCGCTTAATTAGGTTGGCTGTATTTCTTGATATATATATATATATATATATACACACATATATTTTGGCGGCGGCCCCCCTTGGGACTGCCGCCACTCTCGACCCCGTTTCTCGGGGCCCGGGGGGGGGATGTTAAGAGGACCTTTTATCCCGCAGAGTGGGATAACGCATGCTGACCTCCATTAGGTCGGCTGTAAGAAATTTATATATACGCTTATATTTTGGCGGCGGCCCCCCTTGGGACTACCCGCCACTCTCGACCCCGTTCCTCGGGGCCCCAGGGGGGGGCATATACTGAGAGGGCCGTTATCCCACAAAGTGGGATGCCGCATTGGCGCACGCGCAATGGGAGGAACGAAGGAATGGCAAGCTGGAAGGGGATGCGCTGTGTCAAGGCTCAGAGCCTTCATCTGCTCCCGCATTGTCCGTTTCAGCTTTGCGCTGATCGTCCCAAACCTTCGACGCATCAGTGGGGAGAGGGGTAGGAACTCTTCCCACAGGGGTTCACGTGCGCCCCTCGCGTGGGGATGTGCTCTGTGTCAAGGCTCAGAGCTTTCATCTGTCCCCGCATTGTCCGTTTCAGCTTTGCGCAATATTCGTCCCAAACATTCGACGCGTCATTGGGGAGAGGGGAATCCGACCCTTCGCCGTCCTGAACAGGACGACCACCGGACAGCAGCGAGCAGGGGCTCTCGCTCGCGCAACGCCCCTCCTGTATCTCCCAGAGAATTTGGGAGCCAAATTTCGTGACATTTTCGTTGCGCCGAATACGCATCGGAATTTTGGCCAGCATTCCATAGGCCGCGCGGCCCGGGCACGATTGCTTGCACCACATAGCTGGCATCTCAGTAGGGCTCACCTGGCCGCCCTTTTGGAGGGGCGGAAATTCGGGCAGTTATTCGCCAGTTGAAACAACGCGTGAACGGCCACATCCAGCCCCCCAATCTTGCATCCCATGTCTTTCGCTTTTCGCTCCCATCGTTGCGCTTTCCCGTTCTTCCATCTCCCCCCATCCTCGCGTGCGCGATGTTGCGCGCACGGTGGCGCAGGCCGCCGCCCCAATCTCTCTAGTGCGCGCCAGGGCGCACGCGGTTGCGCAGGCCGCCACTCCAATCTACGGGCCGCTGGGCTCCCGCCTGGGGAATATCACTGAGGGGGGTCCGCCCCTGCCACGAGCAGGAACACGGCAGCATAATGTTCCCATGTTTCTCGCTACTTGCGCCATCCTTTGCGCTCTCTTGCTCATCCTTCTTTGTGCGTGCGATGTTGCGCTCTCTCCCGTGCGCGCCAGGGCGCGCGCGGCGGCGTAGCACGCGACCCCGTGCTACGGACCGCTTGGCCCCTTGCTCGGGTAGATCAGTGGTGGTGTTATCCCAAAAACTGCCCCTGCCAGAGCAGGAGCACGGCAGCATCTAGCAAACGCATTGGCGATCCAGGCGTCGGTCTGTACTTTTGTCGGGTACGTCACAGCCTGCACCCTCGCATCAGGGTTCGCAGGATACGTGTCCACTAGCTGGGTACGCGCAAACTTGTGCTCCCCTGCGGGGTACATCACTCACCCGCAGTTGGGATCGCAGGAGCATTCCGATGCTCGCCGCGGGCCGTCAGGCCCGCAGAGGTGGCTGCTCGTGCAAAGGCCAACCACCTGGGGACCTTCCACCCCTCAAGGAAGCGTACAGTCTCAGAGCATCCTCCTCCTCCGCCTCCTCCTCCTACTCCTCCGCATCCCCGTCGCCCTCCCGCTCAACGTCCTCCTCCTTCTCCTTCTCCTTCTCCTTCTCCTCCTCCTCCTCCTCCTCCTCCTCCCCATCTTCCTCATCCTCATCCTCATCCTCATCCTCATCCTCATCAGCATCAGCATCAGCATCAGCATCAGCATCAGCATCAGCATCCGCATCCGCATCAGCATCATCATCGTCGTCGTCAGCATCATCATCATCATCATCATCATCATCATCATCATCACCATCATCATCATCATCACCATCAGCATCATCATCGTCATCATCATCATCATCATCAGCATCTTCGTCATCATCATCATTATCCTCCTTCGCCTGCTCCTCCGCCTCCTCCTCCTCTTTCTCCCCCTCCCCCTCCTCAACCTCCTCCTCCTCCTCCTCTTTCTGCTGATCCTCCTCCTCTTGCTGCTCCTCCTCCTCCTCCTCCTCCTCCGCCTCCTCCTCCTCCTCCTACCCTCCCTCCTCCCTCTCCTCCGCCTCCTCCTCCGCCTCCTCCTCCTCCTCCTCCTCCTCATCCTGAACCTGCAGCTCCCCCTTGTTCTTGCCATTATCCGCCTCCTCCTCCTCCTCCTCCTCCTCCTCCTCCTCCTCCTCCTCCTCCTCCTCCCCCTGGTCGTCTTCGCAGGTCCCCTCCTCACCTCGCCCTCCTCCAACTCCTCCTGCCCTCCTCCTCCTCCTCCTCCTCCTCCTCCTCCTCCTCTTCCTCCTCCTCCCCCTCCTCCTCCTCCTTCTCTTCTGCTCCTCTCTTGTCCTTCGCGCTCCTCTTCGTCCTTGTCGGCGTCCTCATCTGCTTCTCCTGGCCCGACCTGGAGGATACGCTCCTGCTGGTCATCATCGAGAACCTGCTCAGGGCGGACGCGGTCGTTTGGCCGCCTGGGGGAGACGTCCCCGCCTGCAGTCGCCAGCCGCCTGCGACGAGGATGAGAGGAGGAGAGCGCAGAGAGGAGGAGGAGGCGGAGGAGGAGGAGGGGGAGGAAGAGGAGGAGGAGGAGGAGGAGAGAGCAGAGACTAGGATAATGAGGAGGAAGAGAATGAGGAGGAGTAGGAGGAGACAGAGGAGGAGGAGGACACGAGCAGAACGGGTGCGGACAATACTGGTGTGCGCTCGCAGAATGTTTGACGTAATACCGATCACTCCCACCCCTCACCGTGGAAGAGAGTCCCCGTCGCAGGGTCGACTGTCGAACAACACACGGACCCCGACGTGCAGGAAACGGAGTGGAACTGGGACGGGCACGAAGCAGGCGCAGGGGTGGCAGAGGCGGGAGATGAGCGCCGACGGACGAGGCGGCAGCAGGTCGCAGGGTCGCAGGGGATCCAGCGCGGACTTCCTCGGTCGGCGATGGACCCCCGACTTTCGTCATCGTCTCCTGGTGAAACTTTTAATCATCCGATCGCTGTCGCCGTTTGTCGTTCGCTGTCTGTCGCTGATTCTCGTTAACCATCATTCGTCGATCGCCGTCGTGTTTCAATCGTCGCTCGTCGCCGCCTTTGGGAAGCCAAGAGGTACCGATGCCGCTACCCCCCGGACCTTTCCAGGGGTTCGTTCTGACCAAGACTTCGAAGTGCATCCAGCCGTGGCGAGGAGGGGAGGGGAGCGGCATCGGTAGTTTCTCCGAGTATAAAGCTATGTACACATACACTTTTTGGAGCTCAGCGCGGCTTTCTCGGATCGACGCCAGACCCATCACTCTGGCGCGCCAGGGGTGGCGCCGGAAGCGGCCGCGATGTGGGTTGAGGCGCCTATCCGAAAAATCGCGCGGACATCTGAAGACAATGCTCGTTCCGAATATGTGCTTATCAGTATTATTGATTTATGAAATTATCGCTCGCATCATCATCATCATCATCATCATCATCATCATCATCATCATCATCATCATCATCAGCATCATCATCATCATCAAAATTATTGTTATTATTATTATGATTATTATTATTAGTAAAACATTTTGTTGCTGTTATTATTCTCATTACCATTACCAACATTCATACTATGATACTGGTTTTTTACTATTGTTCGTATTCCTGTTAATACGACAATTCTTATGACTCGTCTTCGACCATCCGAGTCCACTCGTGGAATCTTTTTGCCCTTCGCCACGAGCAGCAAACGTCATATCCACGCCCTCACGGACTTGACTTCGGGTCTAGGGGTCCAGATGCGAACCCTACCCCTGTCCCCCACGATTTCTGAGGGGGGGGGGGGTCATTTTGCTCGGGAGCTCCCGAGCGAAGTGAACCCCACCCTCCCCCTCCGAAATCGTGGGGGGCTGGGGTAAGGTTCGCATCTGGCCCCCTGGGGCCGCACTCCCGTGGGCACGCGGTCGCACGGCTGCGCTCCGCGCCGAGCAGCCGCGGACAAAGAACCGCTCCGCGTACTCGCGGGGGCGCGGCCCAGGGGGCCACGGCCCTCCCGGCCGTGCATACGGGGATAGGTCCTCACCATCGCTCGGACGTCCATTTCCCGTGTATTTTTCGGTTTCGTGAGTGTTGTTTCCCCATATCCTAAGATGGGGTTCTTGTTATTACTTGGACGCCTCCTACTCCCTCTCCTCATTCCTCCTCCTCGTTCCTCCTCCCCTCCTGTCGGACTTACTCGTACTCAGACTTGCTCATACTCAGACTTCCTCATACACAGACTTACTCATACTCAGACTTACTCATACTCAGACCTACTCATACTCAGACTTACTCACACGCAGACATGCTCATACACAGACTTACTCATACACAGACTTACTCACTCCAAGACGTACTCATACACAGACTCACTCATACCCAGACTTACTCATACACAGTATTAGTCATACTCAGACTTACTCATACCCAGACTACACACACAGACTTTCTCATACACAGACCTACTCAAACCCAGACTTACTCATACACAGACTTACTCATACACAGACTTACTCATACTCAGCACCCCTAAGGGGAGCCGCCAGGGGTGGTTGCACGGGCTCGGTCGCGGCCATTTTGTGGGGATGTCTCAGGCGGTTTGCTTGTTTCTGGGCCCAACATCCTTCGCTTGGAGAGCAGATTGTGAGGATGTCTCAGGCGGGACGCTGGTTTCAGCACCCCTAAGGGGAGCCGCCAGGGATGTTTGCACGGGCTCTTTCGCGGCCATTTCGTGGGGATGTCTCAGGCGGTTTGCCTGTTTCTGGGCCCAACATCCTTCGCTTTCGGAGCAGACTTGGAGGATGTCTCGAGCGAGGCGCTCATTTCAGCACCCCTAAGGGGAGCCGCCAGGGGTGTTTGCACGGGCTCGTTCGCGGCCATTTTGTGGGGATGTCTCAGGCGGTGTGCTTGTTCCCCATATCCTAAGATGGGGTTCTTGTTATTACTTGGACGCCTCCTACTCCCTCTCCTCCTTCCTCCTCCTCGTTCCTCCTCCCCTCCTGTCGGACTTACTCATACTCAGACTTGCTCATACTCAGACTTACTCATACAAAGACTTACTCATACTCAGACTTACTCATACCCAGACCTACTCATACTCAGACTTACTCACACTCAGACATACTCATACACTGACTTACTCATACACAGACTTACTCACACCCAGTTTGCTCGTTTCTGGGCTCAACATCCTTCGCTTGGAGAGCAGATTGTGAGGATGTCTCAGGCGGGGCGCTGGTTTCAGCACCCCTAAGGGGAGCCGCCAGGGGTGTTTGCACGGGCTCGTTCGCGGCCATTTTGTGGGGATGTCTCAGGCGGTTTGCTTGTTTCTGGGCCCAACATCCTTCGCTTGGAGAGCAGATTGTGAGGATGTCTCAGGCGGGGCGCTGGTTTCAGCACCCCTAAGGGGAGCCGCCAGGGGTGTTTGCACGGGCTCGTTCGCGGCCATTTTGTGGGGATGTCTCAGGCGGTTTGCTTGTTTCTGTGCCCAACATCCTTCGCTTTCGGAGCAGATTTGGAGGATGTCTCGAGCGAGGCGCTCATTTCACCCCCCAGGTGGGCCAGATGTTGAGGATGTCTCGATCGGTTTGCTTGTTTTGGTGGCCAGGCTCGTGGCCCTAAGGGGAGCCGCCAAGGGTGGTTGCACGGGCTCGTTCGCGGCCATTTTGTGGGGATGTCTCAGGCGGTTTGCTTGTTTCTGGGCTCAACATCCTTCGCTTTCGGAGCAGATGTGGAGGATCTCTCGAGCGAGGCGCTCATGTTCACCCCCCAGGTGGGCCAGATTTTGAGGATGTCTCGATCGGTTTGCTTGTTTTGGTGGCTAGGCTCGTGGGCGCAGATTCTTCTCAGGATGCCACAGGAGGCTCCAACAGGCTCCAGGAGGCCCCAGGAGACCACATGAGGTCCCAGGAGGCATCAGGAGGCCACAGAAAGACTCAAGAGGCCACAGGATGTCCCAAGAGGCTCCAGGAGGCCCCAGGAAGCTCCAGAAGGCCTCAGGAAACCACAGGAGGCCCCAGGAGGCAACAGGAAGCGCCAGGAGGCCTCGGAAGGCAACAGGAGGCCCCGAGAGGCCCCAGGAGCAGGAGGCCTCAGAAGGCAACAGGAGTGGCGCCAATCCCATGTGTTTTACGTATGCTCCTATCGATTGGGCCTCACCTGGAGCACGATTCTTTGATGTTCTACGTATGTTTCTATAGATGGTTCTTCTCCTGTGTACACAATCCTAAATGGTTTACTCATGTCCCTATATATATATATATATATATATATATATATATATAGATTGGGCCTCTCCTGGGGCACGAGTCCTTGGTGTTTTACGCGTGTTCCTATAGATTGCCCTTCTCCTGTGGCTCTAATCCGCAATGTTTTATGTACGTCTGTTGCTATAGATTGCGCCTCTCCTGGGGCACGAAACCTTCCTAGGAGGTCCCAGGAGGTCCCAAGAGGCTCCTGGAGACCCCAGGAAGCCCCAGTAGGTTTCAGGAGGCCCCAGGAGGCCCCAGGCTCATGCACAGAGACGCGCTCGTACTACTGAGGCTCATTCACACTCCAATTCATTCGCAGTTAGATTGATGTCCAGACCGTCACAACTGAAGCCCGTTAATATTCGAAAGCTCTTGCGCCTAGACATTCACGGCGGACAGGTCCATGCGAGTAGATGCACATATGGGGAGCTCCACGCAGTGAATAATTTCTGGGCCCAACATCCTTCGCTTTCGGAGCAGATTTGGAGGATGTCTCGAGCGAGGCGCTCATTTTCACCCCCCAGGTGGGCCAGATTTTGAGGATGTCTCGATCGGTTTGCTTGTTTTGGTGGCCAGGCTCGTGGGCGCAGATTCTTCTCAGGATGCCACAGGAGGCTCCAACAGGCTCCAGGAGGCCCCAGGAGACCACATGAGGTCCCAGGAGGCATCAGGAGGCCACAGAAAGACTCAAGAGGCCACAGGATGTCCCAAGAGGCTCCAGGAGGCCCCAGGAAGCTCCAGAAGGCCTCAGGAAACCACAGGAGGCCCCAGGAGGCAACAGGAAGCGCCAGGAGGCCTCGGAAGGCAACAGGAGGCCCCGAGAGGCCCCAGGAGCAGGAGGCCTCAGAAGGCAACAGGAGTGGCTCCAATCCCATGTGTTTTACGTATGCTCCTATCGATTGGGCCTCACCTGGAGCACGATTCTTTGATGTTCTACGTATGTTTCTATAGATGGTCCTTCTCCTGTGTACACAATCCTAAATGTTTTACTCATGTTCCTATGTATTGGGCCTCTCCTGGGGCACGAGTCCTTGGTGTTTTACGCGTGTTCCTATAGATTGCCCTTCTCCTGTGGCTCTAATCCGCAATGTTTTATGTACGTCTGTTGCTATAGATTGCGCCTCTCCTGGGGCACGAAACCTTCCTAGGAGGTCCCAGGAGGTCCCAAGAGGCTCCTGGAGACCCCAGGAAGCCCCAGTAGGTTTCAGGAGGCCCCAGGAGGCCCCAGGCTCATGCACAGAGACGCGCTCGTACTACTGAGGCTCATTCACACTCCAATTCATTCGCAATTAGATTGATGTCCAGACCGTCACAACTGAAGCCCGTTAATATTCGAAAGCTCTTGCGCCTAGACATTCACGGCGGACAGGTCCATGCGAGTAGATGCACATATGGGGAGCTCCACGCAGTGAATAATTTTTGCTCGATGGTCCAGGATCGTCCTCAATGGTTCTCGCCGAGAAAAAAATGTACACGTCCGAGCGATGCCAGGGGTCTGCACGAGATCGGCGCCCCTGCACCGCACCACGCCTGGACCCAGTGCCAGCCCCCGCTCCGACGCCGCACGGCGCATAAGTTTTTGGTTCGGCTCCGGGGGGCCGGAAAGCCATGCACCGTGCCATGCCTGGGTCGAGACGGGACGACGCACCCCGCGAGACGCCGACGTGGCAATTGCGGTGCGCACACGAGGGGTCCGCAGACTCCGGCCCCCGGCTTCGAGCGCCGTCGTCGCCTCCCCACCTCTGCCGAGAATCTGCCTCGGAGGCCCCACAGAGGGCTGTGCTATTAGAGGCTTGGAAATTGGCACCAACACCAACCCAGGAGGTTGCCTCCACAGGGGGAAGATGATTCGAGATCTCGGTGTTGGTGGAAATGTTTCGGTCACCTTGGAAGCCCGAGTATCACCACCATCACCGACATCGGGATTTTCTTCCCTCGGTGGAGGCACACCGCCGATCTTGGTGTTGGTGTCAACCTCTGGGCCTGCGGTGCTAGCAGCACGCGCCTTTGCACTGTGCGCGCGCTGGGTCCAGGACAGAGCCATCGTCGTCGTGCACACAAGTCGCCGTCGTCGCTTCCCCACCTCTGCAACAACTTTCCTCGGACGCCCCACAGAGGGCTGTGCTAACAGCACGCACCTTTGCACCGTGCGCGCGTTGGGGTCCAGGACAGAGCCGTCGTCGCCGTGCACACAGGTCGCCGTCGTCGCTCGTCGGCGGCAGCCTCAGGGCCGCTCCCGGCCGACTCCGCTCCGCGTGCAATGCCGAGACGCTGCAGTGCAGAGAGGAGGAGGAGGATGATGAGGAGGAGGAGGAGGAGGAGGAAGAGGAGGAAGAGGAGGAGGAGGATGAGGAGGAGGAAGAGGAGGAGGGATGAGGAAGAGGAGGATGAGGAGGATGAGGAGGAGGAGGAGGAGGGATGAGGAAGAGGAGGATGAGGCGGAGATGGGAGGAGGCGGAAGAGGAGGAGGCGGAGAAAAGAGGAGGAGGAGGAGAGGAGGAGGAGGAGAGGGAGGAGGAGGAGGAGGAGGAGGAGGAGGAGGAGGAGGAGGGATGAGGAAGAGGAGGAGAAGGAAGAGAAAGGATTGGAAAAACCGTCCGCATCGTCGCCGTCGTCGCTCGCCGGCCGCAGGCCTGAGGGCCGCTTGCGCTGCGTGGCCCGCGGGGGCAGGCTCACGCGGGGCGGCTCGCGGGAGGGGCCCTCCGCGGGCGGGGCGCCGAGGTGCGTTCGGCCTCGCGGCGGCGCCGACGACGCCGACGCCGACGACGCCGACGACGACGACGCCGCCGACGCCGCCGACGCCGACGCCGCCGACGACGACGCCGACGCCGACGTCGACGCCGACGACGTTCCTCGTCCTCGACGTGCTGGCTCTCCCTCTCCCAAGGAGCGATCCTCTCTGCTCCCCCCTCGGTCCCTCCTCCTCCTTTTGGCCCTCAGACCAATGCCTCACAACATCAGTGCCTGACCTGCAAGCCGAGACACATCTGCAAGCCAGCAAATCTCAATCAGGCTGAAATGTCAACGCTATAATTCACCTCAACAGTCACCCCCACCTTATCGGGATGACGCCCAATCGAGACTCGCTTCCAATTCTTCACTCCCGTGACAGTCGGGGTGCCACAGTTACGGCCCAAACCTTTGACCTGGGCCCCAGCACTGTAGAACCTGCAGTGCACACAGACAAAAAAAAGCTGTTGTCTGAAGAGTACAGTGCGATCACACGATGGCCAAGGCGCTCCAAGACCACAGAGTCTAAACGACTGTGCCCTGAGCACCCTGACTTTCTTGGCATCTCGACCGCCAGAGAACCTCTCAGGCAGACGCGACACCTCCAGATCTTGGACATGTACTCCCGCGGGTGCTGCTGTCGAGGGGCCACAAGGGGCAGGGGGGGGGGAGGCACACGCTCCACACCCAAGAACTCCACGCGAGGCCAAAGAGGAAGCACAGCAGCACCCAGGGACAGTACGACTTTCGAAACGCAAATTTTCCAATCAATCTCCTCAAGGAGCCTAGCAGCGAAAACGGGGTGCCTCGAAACCGCTCTTTTGGCCCCAACATCCGCCAAATCGTTGCCCAACCTACAGAAACGCTCCACGGCGGAAATATTCGGCTCATCCGGGTCTCTGTGAGCGTCAACTTTGGCTAACGACCGCAAGCGGCCGTCATCGAATGCCAGCCCTTGAAGCAACAAGCCCGAGTACACATGCTTGGGGGACCTGCAGGAATCGAGGCCTTGGGAAAACAGGGTCGCAACATTGCTGCAGTCACTGTATGCATCAGCTTTACTCTGAAGCACCATGCCCATTCCACAGAACGCCGAGAACTCCGCGGCTTGCGGAGACTGCACGCAAGGTGGCCAAACAAGCGCGGACACTTCACATAAAGCCTCCGCCTGAGAATTAACCAGCACTACACACCAAGCACTACGCGAAAGCTCGGCCACAGGGTGGCGAACACACGAGCCATCGACGAACAACCAGCCCCAGACCCCAAGCTCAGGAGAGGTGTTGGTTGGCATCGAGTCTCCAGGAACGGTGGTCTGAGAAACATGCCAGTTGACCAAGAATTGCCCACTATGACCAGGACGAGGGAGCTAGTCTCCTGGATGACGAAACGCACCATGCATCCAAAGAGGCCGCTCATAATCCTCATCGCCAACACGCAGCGCAGCCGACAGTATATCCGAGTCCACCGCCTGCTCACGACCATCACTGCAAGCGGGACATTCCCATAGCCGATGCCAGATCGTGTCCTGAGCTCCTTGACAGAGCTGACACTGATCTGAAATGTCGTAGCCTGCTAATCTGGCACTGCTGGCCGTCCAGATCGCGTTGCAGGCCAGCGCTCTCGTAGTGGCTTTGCTCCTAAAAGAAAACTTCTTGGAACGAAATCTGGATTTAGCAATATCCCAACGAAGTCGGCGCTGGACCCCCAGCTTCTCACCCGAAGCCCTCTCGAGGCCTCTAAAATCGACGCTCTCCCCAGGAGAGCCACCAACTTGGGGAACAAAAACAACACGAGCGAAACCTCCTCACCCATATCGTGGATCACCGTGCAAAAATTACGCATCTGCCAACCCAACCTGTGAATCGTCATCCTAAGGGCCGACGCAGGCCCCTTCACGTTGGCCCAGGGCCAGTCACCCCTCGCAAAACAGACCTCCCACGAGCTCCTCGTCTCCTGCAAGGATAAAGCCCCATCCTAGGCTTTGGTCTGCCGTAACCAAAGCTCCTTCGACCACCTAATCAGCGGCGCAACAGCAGCACGCCATGGAGGGTCGCCCTCCAAAAGCAAGAGGATAGTGAGAGACCTGTGCTGAGATTCGGGAGAAACAGTCGACGTGCCCTTGCTCCTATAGGCATGGAGCTCCGCATCCGGAACCCCGAAAACTTCGCAGCCGTACGTCGCGCCCGCCAGGGGGCCCGACGCAACTATTTTCACCGCGGCCCTTCCCAGAACTTTCTTGTGCCAGTCAAGGCGACGACACTTCCGACAACAAAAAGCGGCCTGGCGAACTTTCACCTTCCTGGCTTTACTCTTAGTGTAGCCTGGGGCCGTCGTGCGCAATGACCTTCCCGCCACGCAATCAACTCCCATGTTCACAATCGAGGAAGAGGGCTTGCCGCGCAGCTCACCCAGTTGTTCTTCCAACTGCAGGGCAACTGCGCGACGACTGCACACGCAGCCCACCTTGTCAAGGGCAAGCTTGCAACCTAAGACTGCAGTAACTTCGTGATGCAGACTCTTAGAAGCTGCAGCCAACGAGTCGACCACTTCCGTGACTGTGCCCGTGTGAGACAAGCCCGCGTCGTCCACATAGGCATCGAAGTTGGTACCACACGACAAGACCACCCTGCCGAAGGACTCAATGGCGAAAGCTCTGATAAACGCAGTGGCCATGGAACGCCCCGCGATGACTCCCGAGACGACCCAGAACGGCCCCTCGATGATGCCTCCTAGACTCAGAAAGCGACACGACTTGTAGGCCGCAAGACACACCCGGAACACAAAGGGGGGAAAGTCCAACTTGACACATTGATCCTCTAAATACTTGAACGAGATGCTTTCATTGTACTTCTGAAGGTCGTAAAACACCTTCCCGAGACCAACCCTGTGGAGGTTCCAGTCTCAGCCCGGAAACTTTGCCTCCAAACGACGTCCGCAGCCCCTCTGTTGGCCCCCGCAGCCCAGTAGGGCCTGGCAAAACGCTTTTCCCAAGCTAAAGCCACAGACCTCCTTCCTCGGCCCCGAAGTCTATACCGCGAAACAAAAACCCCTATGGGCCTAAAGCCTCCAGTGGGCTTGGGCAAAAGGGCCAGCAAAAAAAAACTCATCAATCGGCAACCTTCCAGTGGCTTCCATGACCAGAAAGAGACCAGCCAGGGCCTCAAGCGCCTCGTCCGACAGAAAACTGACATGGCGCGAATGGAAGCCGTCCACTGAGACAGCGCTGCCAACAGGGCATTTATTGCTGAGCTGCCTCAACTCAGCAGGTGAGAAACGCGGCAGATGCGGCACAAGCTCAACAGGTCCTTGGGGAGGCCCCGATCCTTCGCCCCACCACGACTGAAAGCGAGCGCCTTCAGCCTTGAGCAGGGAGCGCGGGTCCGCTCTGACCTCCCCAAGGGCAGACAAAGTGGTCGTCGGAACCCATGGCGACGGACCCCGAAGCAACAAATGCGCCTTCCTTCCTCCCTTGTCCAATCGTTCCCTGGTGAAATTCTGCCAACTAGACTCATTGGCCTTGAGGTGCCCCCTTCGAGCCTCCTGCATGCCTGGGCTGAGTTCTCCAAGCAGCACATCCAGCACCTGAACAGAAGCGCACAAGGTTGAGGCTTCCCCGGCCTTGGAGAGAACGTCGCTGGCTAGATCACCAGCTTGCCGAAAAGAACTCAGGGCGCTTACGCCGAGCTGCTTGAGCAGTGACCGGCGGCGAAAGCAGACTGCGAGCAATCGCCGCCACCTGCGGCTTCTGACATTCCAGCTCCGACTTCAGAGCCCTGACCTGCGCGTCTAACCACTTGAGGCCTCGAACGACGGGGTCCTTGGGATGCGCCGAGGCCTTGAACAGAGGCTTCCAGAACGTCGAAGGAGGTTTCCCCCTGGCCCCATGAACAGGAAGATCCCCCCCCCCCCCCCCCCAATGTCTTAACTAACTCAAGCTCCGCTCTGTCCGCCCAAAGCTCATAACCATCCGACAACACGCTAGCAGCTCCATCTCCTTCCCCTCTCTCAACGCACCGAACAGCACTTTTAACCAGGCCCATGAAACTTGACACTGCAGTGCTGCCCACAAGCGGCGCGGGACCGAAGAGGAGGGGGCCACAGGCAACGGAGGGGGGCGGCGAAAGGCGAGAGCCTTCAGGTGCATCAACTGCGCATGAAACCTAAGCATCACAAGACGATGTGGGTTCAAACCCGCGCCATGCACAGCCGAAACCTGCTCGAGCCTTTTCGAGGGCCTGTTGGACACGACAAAATAATCAAAACGCGAAGGCTCCCCCGACCCCGGGAAATGAGTATTACCTTCCGTGCAAACCAGTTGTCCTCCCACCTGTTTGGCAAACCCTAAGCCTTCTAAAGTATCGGGCCCGAAGTTGAAGTCACCCCCGATGATGTACTCCTCCTCCTGACTAGTAAGAAAGGATCCCGCTGAAATCAGGATCTTGCCATTGCGCTCGCCTACGCCTACACTGCGCTGCAAGTAGATCGGACACGATAAACATGAGGGGATCGCTGGTGGAGGAACCTTGCAAACAAAGCTGCGTCCAGCCTCGCCCTCAAACACTGGAACGCCAATCGCGCCGAGCCACGAGCGTGCGAAGACAGCAACCCCACAACTGTCACCTCCCTGCGGGCCTGGAATGCCAGGCTGCCACATGGACCTCCACCCTGCTCGAAGCAGAGCGCCTGAAGCTTTCTGAATTTGCTCCTGGTCACGAGAGTCCACCAAGATTTCCTTCGTGGTACCCCACGCGTTACAGTTGACCGCCCGGGCTTCCAAGGCGACCGACTGCGCCTCTCCCAGACCGACCCTAGAGACCGACACCAACTCTTCATCAGAGGAATGAGAGGAGGTCTGATGGGGCACTAAAGGAACCTGTTGAGAGTCGAACCCCCCCGAACTCCCAAGACAACCGCAGTAGTCCCGTTTCAGCCTCCTGAGGGTAGCCTCTGTGAGAAACGATCTAGGCCCAGCTCGGGGCAACTTAAACATCGAGAACAG